TGAGGCTTCTAGACAAGCACAACAGAATTATTTTACAGGCCAGATTACACCACTACAGGGAAAATGCAGTACACAGTACTGCAAAACACAAGACTGTTATTGTAAACTAGCAAAAGCTAAACTCTTTAAAGAATGTGTAGGCTACTATGCATACACTTTTGTTAGAATTATTATGTTTTTCTTTCAGATGAAAATGTACTCGTCTGATTAGTGTATGAGGCACCAGTGGCTTAACTGCTGAAACACACACATCCGTTATTTTATAAATATATACGCATGCCTTCATTTCTCTTCAACTTTGTCCAACTCAGAATTTCTATTTTCTTTGTCAGTTTGGTTTGACGTTATTATTGCCTTGATTTTTGAGAAAAGGATAGTTCTTATGCCAAGTTCCTGTAGTCTCCCCACCTCCATCCTGAATTCATTCCAAACCTGATTTAGTTTTTTTCTGTACACTGTCACAGAGATCCATAAAAACTAAATTAACAGGAACAACAAAGACACAAAAAACAAACAAAATATGAGGGCATGTACAGTTGCGGTTTAGCAGGCATGAATGATTTTGATTCATCTTGTGTAATGAATTTTCAGTGGGGAAAAAAAGACAAGCAACTTTGGAGAGAGATCAGCTTTCAAGTATTTTTTTTCAGAATGTGACGCTTAAGAAGTAAGTTTCAACACAAATTAAAAGAGATCGCATTCTCTGTTGCTGCTTTAAGCTGCCTTGGTGCCTACTCACAGATGGAGACGCTACTCAATTGTAATGCCATTTTGTATCTATCCATCCCCATATACAAGGCTAAAACAGTGCAACTTTTAGGCACTAAGGTATAAATGATTGTCACACAGTGAGCAATACTGTAGGTTTCATTTGCTTGGGGACAACGCTAACCTGAACTGGTCAATTAGGCAAAAGAGTTTTTCTCACTTCAGCAGTTTGCGTCTGCATTCTGGCATATAAAAGATGTTTCATAGCTGTGGTTCTGCCAGCATGTTCTGCTGTGCACATACTGTATTTTTTAAATTCCACTTCTTTACTCTGAACAGGGCGCTGCGGTAGTGCTGCCCAAATCCTCAATTTCAATGTGGAAAAAAAGCCTATATAGCATCAGTGAGCAGTAGCGTTTAGGGCTCTGAACTCCGGAGATCTGGACTGGTTTGGCAGGAGTTCAAATCCCGAGTGGGCACTATCAAAATGCCCTTGAGCAAGGCGCTCCAATAAGATGCCACACTGTATACATGGGTAACTCTCCAGGTTGTTATCGCAAATGAAAATGTATTCCCAATTGGCACACAGTATAAAGGATAAAACAATAAAAAAAATGTGGAGCTGTATGCACACATGATGTACCAGAGACATAGAAACAACAACACCAAAAGGTGACAATGAAATAAACTCCCCCCCAAAAAAGAACAATGATAACGAAAAGACGTAATTTCCATTGATTGCAAGCCCTTTAGTCAGCAGTAATTTAGACAACCATTTTCTCACAATCTCCACGCTAAAAACGAAGTATGACATGCCCTGGCCTATCAGAGACAGAAGGGTCATGGTAGGGGGGCTTCTTGTAGAGCACAACGAAAGAATAAAAAAAAAATCAGAACTTGACCATTTCTCTCTGCCATCAGACCACTCTCCATAGCAACTCATCTCGAAATAAATATCTTGTTTCCCATACTAATTTTGTCCTGTGCTAACTGAAGACAGTCTGCCATTCACTTGCTGGTGTCTTTGGAGGCACAAATGAATCTGGAGGTCTGGCACTGATCCACCGGAAGCTCATGAACACAGTGGAGCTCTGTGAGGCACAGGAGGACAGAGCTCTCTCCCACTGCCTGAGAGCCTGAGACGAAAAAAACACACAGCTTCCAACAAATAAGGCAAAAGTTTAGGTCTGGGTCTTAATTATACTGCTTTCTTACATCACCCTCCCCAGCTCAGGCAGCCCTTATCTCCTTTCGTTTTTACTTCAGCAAGTGCTGCTACTGTAGTTTTCAACCTTTCCGAAAGGCATACTCCAGTAGCCCCTGTTTGGTGTTTTGTTTAATATTCCCCTGATATGCAGTGCTGAAGGTCAATATGTGTGACACAAGATTAGACAAGCCCTCTTCTTCTCCAGCCCCATTTACCTCAACAAATGAATTATTTGATTAATAAAAACTGTACAAAAAAGCTTAATATTTAAAATAAAGAAGGATTTTTTTCATCCATACAGGCTGCATTGCTGCCTAAGGTCTATTCATTGCTGATGTATCAGACTGACTTATTGTCGGAAAAAATGTTTTTACCAATTTAAACACATCCTCTAACTAATTCCTTGCAGCGAGACTCTTCCATACTGTATATCATGTACAGAAATCTCTAAAGGGGCCGCATGCATCCAGCCATTATTTTTTGTTGACTGTATAAAGATTTCCTTTACAGGAACTGTGCTGTCCAAACCTTATTCCTGGGATTTAAGAAAAGCAGCTCTGCATTAAACATGTGCTGGATTTCAAGGACAAGTTGAAAAAGAAGAGGACTGCAGCTGCACCGCATAAAAATGCTGAATCTGTATTAAAGTGAATGAAACTTGGAAGTTTCATTCTCTGAAAATGTATGAATCTGTAGCATGCATTATATAGTATCTCTGTCTCTGGAAGAATTCTTAACAACATGGTTGGTCCTATTATGATGATAACATTGGGAAAACTGAATGGATCAGTAGAACAGGATTTCTGTCTCATATTAAACTGACCTCAGTTAAAGTCACTTCTCCAGGGAGGTAATGTAAATACTAGTGTCTTACTCCTACAGCACTAACTTAATGTCATATTCTCCAGATATACTCATTGCCCTATTGGTCCTGATGGCAGATATACAGTAGTTCCAGACAACCAGGTGGGGAACAAGGGAATTAAAAGGGAAAAATACTAAAAAAAAGACATCTGTTTAAATCATCATGCAAGGTATGTATTCAGTACACAAAGATTATGAGCAAAGGACTATGGTTTTTACCCTCCTAATTTTACTCTTTGTTTTGCAAACTGTTGCTGTAGACCAGAAATCTGTTTTGAATTGCACCATTCAGCAATATGGATTTTCCATGCACTGGTTCATGCCGGTGTGATAAATCTTAAAGAAAATAAAAAAGCAAGGAGAGAATTGGAAAAAAAAACATAACCATATGGGAGACAGGGTCAGAAGGGCAAACTAGTAAAAACAGGGAACTGACTATGATAGAAAAAAGTATACCTTAAATTTCACAGATTTGTAAAACTCAAAAAATACATATTTTTAAAGAGAGTTGCTGGTTACATCAGTTACTTAGTCCCTTTCCTTCTCCCCTCCTCTACCCGATTTCAGCCCAAACTGTGGGGATTAGCACACGTTCTGTTAGCAAGACACTGAGACCAAACAAAAAATGAAAGATGTAAAAATAATTAGCAGTGGTTAATGTTTCTTCTTTGTAACTGCCTGTTAATGAAAGAAGCAGCTTCTCTTTTGCTGACATAACCCTAACCAGCGCTCTTAAGGACTGCAGTAGGTGGCACAATGTAGAAAGCTCTTAAACAGTTGCTGCCTGTGCTCTTTTGCTTGGCTTTTCCTGATGAGGTGGCAATGAAACCAAGCGGCTCCTTAACTGCTAATTATTTTTGTCTGAATAAGGGTGAACAACTCAGGCATGCATAATAATGCAGAATGCAAATGCTGTTGTTATCTTTTTTAACACATACAGTATGGTGTGATGACCAATTTCAGAGCAATGGGACATTACATTTCAGTGATTTCTGCATCCCAAGGGCTATTCCAGTCTCCTGAATTAGCCTTCAGTTGGAAACGTACAATGATCATGGTATGATAATCTAAAGCATGACAAACCCTTCTGATGCATTTGTAGCTTCTTTTATCCCCTATTATGGATGCAAAGAAAACTCAAAGTTTGTTTTTTAATATGTAATTTCCCATCCACATGTAAACTAGGGGGTTGGAGGGATCTACAGCTACATAGTGATCATGCAACATTTCTGCCGTATATTCCATCAAACCCATGAACCCTGATAAGATCCTGAATTTTGGAAAAGTTCAGAGACATTTGTACATGACTAAGCTTAGAGACGATGGTCATTTTTCCCCATCAGCACATCTAGCTTCCAAAAAAGCAATGCATCGATAAATCGACGTTCGAAAAGGCAAGAATTACTAAAGGACAACAAACTTTCACCAATTTTTTGATTATACTGTATAGGCTAAATACAGACTTAACCTCCTGCTGCATTAATTTACATCTGTGTAAATCTGTACTCATTTGTATTAGGTAGAAAACCTACTTAAAAACTGCAAGTAAATTTTAAATCAATAATAGTGGTAAATAATAATTCACAATGGAATGCTTAAGGGATGCTTTCACTTGCATGAAAATGATTCACGTGCACATCAAAGTTCTGAAGTTGTCCAAGGCCTGTCTTGTACATTAAAAATAGTTTGTATACTTTTCTTTTGCGATTCTTAGATACAATGTGTGCTGTGATGCCAGTACAATCATTCACTGGCCATAGGCATCTTAACAACCAATAGCTCAGGACATTTGAAGCCACTTTGCTGCAGCAAAAGAGTGAAAAGGCACAGCTGATGTACTGTGTGCTCACACAGCTAATGCAACAGTATGATCTGTAATTTTAGAAGAACAAAGGGAAGAACCTGGAAAATAAGAAAACTCAATCTACAATACATCTTTGGACAAAAGTCCCTTTCTTACAAGCTTTACAAAGAAAAAAAACTACCTCCTCACATTTCCGACAGCTGAATGTCATTAAACAAACAAAAAACATCAATGGATCGATGCATTGAATCAACCTAGGAATAATATCAAATTTTCTTTTTGATTTGTTTTTGAAAAAACATTTCTATTGGGTATATAATGCAATTAAAACACTGTCAATTATTTTTCTGATCCATCAGGGTTTTAAGTCATTAATTGATTGGTTTTATTACAGTACCTGCCAGTACGATTTCATACCTGATATATCCTGTTAATGGGCTCCTGCAGAGGGAGAAACCAAGGTTTGAAATAACGAGAGTAAATCCACCCTCACTGTTTTGGTAAAGGCATTTTGCTGGCTAGCATGCTGAGCGCTTATTGGCACAGTCTCCTCAAACTTTCAAGGGCAAATACTTATAGAACGGAAGTTGGCAGACTGGCTTTGAGTCTTACACACACACGCATATAAACGTCGAGAGGCTCTCAAGCAATTTCTGTCATACCTGCTGTCTACTGTAGCTCACATCCTCTTCCAGCACTGAGCACATACCTGCTCTCCTTCTGTGAAAACCCGCCTGCCGAAACTCCAGACAATATTAGGTGTGGGATCTCCGCTGGCTTCGCAGGTGAGACTGATCTGTTCTTCTAGTTCCAAAGCTGTCTTATTCTCAGTGTAGGTGATTTTGGGTTTCACTATTGGAAGAATGCAAAACATGCACTGCATAAAAAAATATGTCCCATTAACATAGAGGACGTGGCATGTGGTGAAAACAATTCCAGTGCGTTTGAGACCGGGCCTCATCTCACTATGCTCCTTTCTGCATGAAAGTACCCTTTGTGCTTTTTCCCATCCCTTTACTTTTGGAAAACATTTTGAAAAATACAGAAAGAGCAGTTATATAAAGCGGGGGCATTTAAAAACAGAAAGGCGTGACAATAAAAATACTGTACAGACTAGTGTCTTAGGAATGGATATTTAGGCTTTCTTGTGATTTGCTGGGGTGCCATTAGTACTAATTAGTCATATTCTTTGGGTTATAAAAATATAATTACTCTAATACTTTCATCGTTCCTACAATGTTACGCTGGAAATATTCATTTTTAATTTGCCTAACTTTAAAAAGAATAAAACAATCATAACTAAAGGAGAATTAAAAGTTAAAACTCTAGAATGCAGTTTTATGACAACCAGGATTGGGTTTTTAATTTTTTTTACCAAAAACATTCAGGCTAATCTCCTGTTCCTTCTCCCCAGCCTTGTTCCTGGCAATGCACTTGTAATCTCCCTGATCCACTTTCTTCACATCCTTTATTGTCATCTCAGATCCGTCTTCGTTGAAGCTGTACTTACTGCCCGCTTCCAGAATGATATTATCCCTGGTAAAAGAGAGAGGCAAAGAAAGACAAATTACACTTCTTCCCTAACCTTTTAAAAAGTAATTCCTTTTTGTTTTGCCTCTCTGGACCTTTGATATAATCTTCTTTTAAACGCTTAAATCACACAAAACATCCTTTTTTTCTATATCCAATGATAACACAGGAAATTAGAAGATCTAAGAAACAAATAAAAACTTACAGGGCTCATATGAGAACAGGAGGCATAGAAGTCCCATGAAGAAGATCTGATCTTTAAAATTAAAAAGACTCACTAAATGAAGTGTGAAGAAACTGTGACTAACAAGAGTGAAGAATGAGGAAATTAGGTTAACAACATGCAGTCGTCAATGTAAGGAACTGAGCAGTAAATGAGAACACCAAGCCAACATATTTTATAAGTTCCTTCAGCATTCCAGATTCCTCTGCTTAAGTGAAATTCATTAAGCAGTTGCGCCCATGAAGCAGAACTTTCATAAGGTAGCTTAAGCACTGATTTTATTAAAATAAAAATAAAAGATATTGCTCATCCTCCTACATTTAAAAGATGAAGGACCCAAAATGAACACATATAAAACCCACACAATAAGAAGGACCAGGTGTGCAATTAAAAAAAAAAAAGATTAAATGAAATCTTAATTTACAAACCTTTTGAAGTGTAAGAAAGCTGACTGTAGTAAACTCAATGCGGCAAATATAAAGGAAAATAAATTAAAACCAAGAAAGTGGGCTGCGTAAATGCACCGAATCCATCCATACATTAATTTTGCCTGGTACTAGCCCGGCAGACAATAAGGAAGAACACAACATAGATAGGATACCAGTCCATTGCAAGACATGCACACAGGACACCAAGACAGTATGGCAGTCACAGGGGGAACATGCAAACTCCTTACTGAAAGTAACCTAAGACAGAAACAAACCCAGGATCTAAGTGCTAGCAGGCAATAGTTCTTACAACCCAATTACCATGTCACCCATAATTAAGAACAGTAATAAAACCAAATTTATTTCACTTCCAGCATAGTTCAGGCCAGTTTTTGTTTCTGAAAACACCATATTATCTGAACTATGCATTTCAGTTTTACCTGGGCAAACGTAACTCCCTTGAGGCTCATTTAAGTCTGTGTAAATAAATGGTTCATAATTTGCCTTCGTAGTTTATGCCAGGTTTTATTCCGAAGGGGACACAGCAGATAGGTTTGTGCTGCAAACCCAAAGCTCCAAAAGAAACCTGTTTGCCTCTTGTGGGAATTCTGCACAGAGAAGTCTGATAACATTTCACCTCCAGGCAATGTGCTCTGTGAAGACTCCTGACAGCAGAGTGACTCAGCTACCCCAGCACTTTAACTTTAGAGGTACAAAGAGGGTGGTGCTTATCTTATACTGGCACTTAAGGTATATTCACACCATTGACAGCGAGAGCTAGGAAGTGTGACAGAGCTGTCTCTGACCCTAAAGACAAATGATAAATTGGTGAGTGGGACTGCCTTCTGCTTCCTTGGCCCTAAGCCATGATGGAGACACCTTCTGATCTCCTTGTAATCCCGGTCTTAAACTGAGAAAGGTCCTCCTCCCTCTCAGAGCAAAAGTCATATCACAACCTCTTTGTCAATACCGAGCTCAAAACAGCACTCAGTGCTGTCAGTGTACAGGCTCTTAAGGTGGGAAGAGAGCAGGAAGAATCTCAATGCATCTGCAAACGATTTGAGATTTAATTCCATTAGCTTTAGTATCTCATTCTATTCCAACTCAATGTTATCAGCACCAGAAAAAAAAAAAAAACAGGAATGTTAAATATGCAAGGAAACAGACCCAAAAAACCGGTGACAATACCTAAATTCAATGTTTTTTTTCCTTTTATACTGTAATTTATCTTTCCTCTCTTGAAAACAACAGATCAGTAGTACAGTCTTTATAGATTTATGACTGATTGTTTAATTATAAGGTAAGGTCATTTCCTTTATAGTTTCACCAGATGAGAAACTAGTTTCATAATAAGGCGCTTGGAAAAGGATGTTTTAACTCTTTGCAGATAATGACTGGGCACTTGTAAAAACACTGAAGCACAAATACACTCAGTCTCCATATATGTGGTTTTCTATCTGATCTGTTAAGGGCAAAATGGCAATTCATTCTTTGGTGAATTGGTGGTGCTTTGTCTGTATCTCTACTGTGTCCTCATCTGTTCTCTGGCCCTCAGAAAGGGGCTGCGATTCAGAAAGCCCTCAAAATAGCTCCCTCAGCAGGGCAAACTGCACATACAGTAGTCAGTGTAGTGATAATAATATCCCCCCACCAGGTCCAGGTCAGGTAACTGAAGCACAGAACACCAGATAAAGAAAAGCAAAAGAGCAACTGCCATTGGGGTTGTGTATCACCAGCTCACAGGCGATCCCCTACTCTTTATACCCCATTTTCTGTCTTTCTGAACCTGCGACCTTCACCAGGCCCACAGAAGACTGCGGCACAAGGGCAGCTGAAACAGAAAGAGGTCCGTGCTCAGCGCCACTACTCTCAGCAGCAGGGTGCCAGGCCTGGGGCCCACACGACAGCCTGTCCGGTTTGTACAGCAACCACTGGATGGACAACAAGCAGACGGCAGCAGCTTGGCCAGGAATGTGAATCGCTGCCTGGAACACTGGGACTGCACGCACTGAGGCAGCCAGAGCCACCCGTCTCAGGAAGTGCAGAGTCACTGGTGGCGCTAAACACGCCAGCTTACTGTATGTAACAGTGCTGGAGCCCCCAGATTATTGGTGATGCAGGTCCTTGCCTGCTGGGACAGCAGAGTAAACAGCTGCTGCCAGTGGTCCAACTGCTCTCTCACGCCCTTCAATTCTCCGTCCAGGTTCAGGGCAAGTTCTTGCAATCACTGGCCTGGCCTGGTGCATCCACTGCGGTCCAGCAGGTCCAGCACCGCCCCTCTTCCCTCACCCATTAGGAAAAAAGCACAGCCTTCGGCCCACTTGTGGCTAAAGACAGTGTTGTAACCCTTCCCAGAGCTGATGCACATCAAGTACAACTAATCTGAGTGCGCCATCTGCCCCACCCCTAGTTTCTCTGCAAGAGGCATAGGAAGGATCTTCTAATCGATGCAGAGCAATGCCACAATGCTATTTAATTCTGCTCTCACGCTGACTGGTGCCCTAAGGGCCTGGATGGATACTGCAGCGGCAGGAAAGACACTTCACACAGCACTTCTGAAAGCCCAGCTCCAGCAGCCCCCCGACAAGCCACAGAGAAGCAGAGTGGGGGCGAGGAAGGATTTGTAGCCTGCCCGGAGATCCCTGTGCAAAACACCATCGAACAAAAGAGCTGGAGATCTGCAGTGGAGGCTGCTGTTTTCACAGTGAATTCTTTTGTGTCTGGTTTAAATCCCACATTGACTGACAAATGCCCTTCCTGTCCTTTTAGAGAAACTGTTTATCGCTGTTTCACTGAATGGTAACCCACTTCTTTCTGTGCTGACTGATACTTATGCAGTGTACTGTACATACTTAATACAAGCTATATATGTATTTTAACATGACTTTTAAAGCAGTATTGTTTTTTTATGCACAAAGGGACAGAGCATTGTTTATACTTTGCAGCAGTTCAGTTTTTTCTTGGAAAGACAACAGTGATGATTTACTGTATATCAGGAAGTTAAGAACACTGCCAACTGTTTTCAAATCCCAGGTGAAATACAGGATGAATGCTGAGTACTATTACTGTGACAGACGTGTAAATTCCAGAGAGATTTCGGACCTGTTATGTTGTAAGAAGTACTGTATGTGATTTGTTTATTGCAGGAAGAGAATCTTGTCTTTATCCTGTGAAATTATTGTTTTGATCTGGCGGGGTTTGGGAAGGGATTAGGTTTCTTTTCCATTTCGATATCAAAGTACCCATTTCATTTAGTTTCTTTTGCATTATTGTTAATACGTGTGGTCTGCAGGTAATGGAGATATCATCTCTTGGAACTCTTGGAATTTCTCTTTTGATTGCTAGAAGCGGAACAACTCATTCACCGTACAAGAAAAGCTGCTGTTCATCATGCTCAACTGGGGTATGGTCTTAACTTTTGCTATTTTCCCACTGATTAAAAACCATGTCATTTTTAATAGATTCTTACTGAACTCATTTTGGGAATTTTGGCCATCTACGAAAGCCTATTGTTGCAAACATCAGGAAAACAGGCCTATCCCATATAGAAGACACCCCCAGTCCTGGACTGAAGCCAGGACCCCCGCTCAGGTGTATAACTATAAATGTTAAACACCGCGCACCTTGCGTTAAATCATCGTCAATCCAAAAACCTTCTCTTCTTCTCAGTATTTAACAAATGAATGATCGGACTGTTCCCAATGTGCTAACGATGCAAAGCATCGCACTGCAAACATCACAGACTGCTGCTTCCCCACTGTATGTGTGAAGTTTGGGATTCCTCATGCTTTAGTTTACCTTGCCCAAGTAACGGTGGGTTCTGGGTAGCCATCAGCATCGCAGGCCAGCACCACAGACTGTCCAATGTCAGCTGTAGCATTAAGTTCAGGCTGCCTGGTTCTGATCGTAGGGAGAACTGGAAAAAAACAACAACACTATCATGATGAAGGGCAAGCTACTGTGAGATCAAATTCACAAACATGAGTAATACTCAGAGCACAGTAGGCAACAAACAATACAGCACAAAGACAGCAACTACAGTAGCTGTGGGAGTGATGGCTGGGAATGAACACAGCTACAGATGACTTCGTAGTAGTGCAAAAATGGGGTATTCTTTTTTCCAGTGCATTTATGAGAAATTGTGTTAACTGAGCATTTGGAAAAAAGGAGCCGAAAACTCAGATATAGATTTGCCTCCTACAGCACAGCAAACATGTACCGTACAAAATTAGCACGGTCAAGCAATCACATTCAGTGAAAACTAACAGTGACAGCTTTCTTTCCGATCAGTCAAAGTTTGTATTTGTCAGAAGTCACATTCCACCCCTTCAGTGATCATGACTAAAAACAACGCATAGATTTCCAGTTACTAAAAGAGCAGATAATCTCATCAAGTTTTGTTTTTTATTAGGTTTCATTGCTAGCTTCCAGTTTAAAATGAGTTAAGAGGGAAAATTTATTTGGAAATCCCCTTGGACACCGTGTCGCGCCTTGTGAACTGCCAGTTATCTGCGGATGTGGTGGACACTGAAGATGCCACGTGCCCAGAATGAAAGAGGCACTCCACTGCGTTGAACATGAAAGAAACAAAGGGGCATGATTCACAGTGCTCACCATTGACAATAACCCGGATGATCCTGAAGTCAATCTCGCCGCGGGCCATGATCCGAGCCTCACAAGTGTACGACCCCTCGTCCGTTTTCTTGATTCCCCGGATCTGTAGGTGGTTGTTGCCCAGGATTCTGAAACGAACTTAGTGAGGAAGGGAGAATCCCGTCTTGAAAGGGAATTTAGAACAACACGCACGCTATCACGAGTGGAGTGTGCCTCACCAAGTTCAAATGTTGAGGTAAAAGTTGAGAGTTAAAGTTGGAGAACCTTAGAACAGTTATAAATTAAAGGAGGCCACTTGGCTCATCTCTCTCATCAGAAAGCTAAACAATCTGAGGGACCTGATCCAACTGTTTCTTGAGAGATGGAAATGTACCTTCAAATCCTTCATATATCTAACTACAGAGAGACAGTGACAACCAGAATACTGCCTACAGGAAAAATAAGAACCAATACTGCCTGTCAGTTTCAAGATTCCTTTTAGTCTTTGCCAACTAAAACACTGGTAATTCTGAAGGACCACTCTCCAGCAGTTTGCATGTCTTTAAATCTTTCCTTAAAAAAGACATTCAATACACTACTGAATGTTAACAATTAGTTCAACTGTCTAACTGAGAGCTAAGATGGAATACAAACCAGAATGCCCCTGTAGTTCCCTATGACTGGAGTTATCTATGTTCTAGTCACAATATGCTGATGCTAGCGGAAACGTCTGCTTTTTTTTCATTTGTATAGTTGTACTCAAGTTCAGCAAACTGTTTTTAAAAGCTGTGTCAAAAATGGACTTTTACATAAACAGCCTTTGGTTTAAGACACTGCTATAATTTGGGGTTTTGCTGGTAAATCTTGTTTTCCAGTGAAAAATGCATCTACAGAGGGAGTGTCCATACATCCCACACTCCAGCACAGCGTAGTGATTTTGTATTTTCCAATGGTCAAGAAACCACCAGTGTATAAGAATAAAGGCTTTAAAGTCAGAATAGTACAGACCACATTATTTCATTTTTTTAGAGAACAAGTGCCAAAAATGTTGAGTCATCAGACGGACATTATAAGACAAATAAAATACGGCCAAGAATTACACACCCCTAAAACAATATCAGAAAATGATCCATTTGGAGAAAAAAACCAACAAGACTGCAAAAGACCCACATCATACAATGAGGTGAAAAAAGAAGTACACCCCCTTAAGATTTTATAATTTAACATATTTGATCTTCACCTAGTCCTCACCCAGTCCCAATAATAGATAAAACTAACCTCAACTGACAAATAACATACAAAAGTCTACTTTGTCATTATTTTTTCAAATCAGCCAGCATTTAATAACTTTATGTGAAAAGTAAGTGAACCCTTATCTCTCCATATCAGTTAAGGGGTACTATTATTTTTTCACACGATTTCACAAGACATTGCATGCCTGTTGATTTTTTTAAATATAATGACAAAGTAGAATGTTTGTTACCTGTCAAATTAGGCAAACATGTTATACCATAAAATGTTAAGGAAGTCTACTTACTGTACATTTTCACCACTCTAGTTTCTTGTTCAAACACCCATTGCATTGCAGGTTGCATCGAAACCTTTAAATTACTGGATTATGTGACCATGCTTTAAGATACCTTGGGAGACTTGCTTGAAATGACAGACTGCAAACAAACAAGAAGCTGACATGAACTAATTAAAGAGATGATGTCTTGCACAGCTCAGGAGAATCACCTTAAAGTTCACCCTTTACTCTGGGATCCAGGTTTTGATGTCTTACCATCTTTCTCAACCTGAATCTTCACACCTTTGTGCTTCCAGATTATAGTGGGAGGAGGCGAGCTGACAACATCACAAACGATAATCGCATCGTCTCCTTCTTTGAACTCCTGGGGGGATGGTGAGTTTTTGAAGGTTAGCTTTTCTGAAAGAAAAAAAAACAAGCATTGTTTTTTTCAGACAAAATAATACAAAAGTGAACTCCCCCCCATTCTTCCTTTATTTATTTCCACGCAGGTGTCCTTGCTACCTAAAACTCCTCATTCCGCTATTTGCATCCCTGACAGGTTCTTAATAACATATTCAAGGTCTGTAATTGTTCAGAAAGCATAAAGGGATATTAAAAAAGAACTCATTATCTCCAAAAACAGAAGGGTTCATTAGGCACTGTTGGGCTGCTATGCATTTGTAAATTCAAGGACTTGATCATAAATCTTCACAGACATATAGTGTAAAAAAATCTCACAATGGCAAACACAAGATGACAAAATTCATCAACTGGCATGCTAAAGACATAAGGTTCTCTCAACCACAAACACCGATACGGAAAAATCTGGTTAATTCAGTTACCATGCAATGTTTGTATGTCTGACAAGAAACTCTCATGCAATGTTGCGCCAGTGAGAGATATTTTGGGAATACGGTGAATACAGTATTACTGTATATGTTAGAATCTAGCAAAGAGATGGTTCTCTTATATCAGCATTCAGAAACTGTAGCTAATATTTTATATTTTTTTGACAAAAATTGTATTTCTGTTGCACAAGAAAGAGTTTTAGATTCTTAGAGTTTTAGAAACTGGAAAGAATCAGAGACTACTCTGGGGTTTTTATCAAGAATCTCTAGGTAAATGGCTGACAAGTATTAAACAGACTCCTCTTAATCACCGAAACAGATTTTTCTCTGCGCGCCACAGAAGCTGCGAGTCACAACGGTAGATTTAATTTGGGTCTTAAAACGAGGAAAAGGGACAGCTTTCAACAGCCTTTGTTCTCGTGTAAAATACTTTTTTATCGTTTTCAGATGGAACGCTCATGCAATTAGAAAGATGCGTTTTCTTAAACTTAGTATTTCTAAACCTACGCTAACTGGTTTAGGCTTTGCAAACTAATACAATTCGGGAAAATTGGTAACGATCCCTGCTTCCGGCCCAGAAACCCACCAACGGCAGACCCCGGCAGAAGTGTTAGTGGGGCCAGCAGGGGGCGCTCATCCTGCGATCCATGTGGCTCCTAATGCCCCAGTATAGTGACTGGGACACTATACTGTAAACAGGCGCCGTCCTTCGGATGAGACGTAAAACCGAGGTCCTGACTCTCTGTGGTCATTAAAAATCCCAGGGCGTTTCTCGTAAAGCGTAGGGATGTAACCCCGGCGTCCTGGCCAAATTTCCCATTGGCCCTTACCAATCACGGCCTCCTAATAATCCCCATCTATAAATTGGTTTCATTACTCTGCTCTCCTCCCCACGCCTTCTGGCATTCTGGCGCACTATGGCTGCCGTCACATCATCCAGGTGGGGCTGCACACTGGTGGTGGTGGTGGAGGGGACTCCCCATTAACTGTAAAGTGCTTTGAGTGGAGTGTCCAGAAAACCGCTATATAAATGTAAGCAATAATTATTATTATTATAACATTAACCGGAACAGCGTGCCCCACGAACACTTACGGAAGATTTTCATGTTGACGGTGGCCTCGGCCTCGGTTTCACCATGGCTCGCCACACACTTGTAGACTCCGGCGTCGTCGATGTCGGCGTTGTAGAGCGTGAGGGTGGACGAGGCCTCATCGTTGCGAGACACTGAGATATCCTGTCTGTTTGGTAGAATCTTTTCCCCGCTGGGTGCGTACCAGTCGATATTTGTTACCTCACCAGTGACTGAAAAACAACAACAGGGGAGGGACAAGTGGGATTGACAGGCAAGATGAAAGTAGGACACTTGACGACATCAGGCGGCTGTTTTATCTGGAAGAGTAGAATTTGACAAATGATTCTGCTGCTAATTATAATATGTCAAAACTTTTACAACTGCAGCACAATACCCTTTTTGTGTTTAAAGGCAAACATGAGAGAAATGGATGGGTGATGAAATTTCTCCTTGTGTCTTTGGTAATCCTCTGGACTTTCTCTAAAGAGATCTAGAAGTCATGTCAAATGCTCTTTTAGGTTCTGAACCGATATACGGTATAACAGCACACAGTATGTATGGAAACATATGTGCTTTTTTTATTTAGAATATGTGTCCTTTCCAATGATAAAACAAAACAGCATAACTAGTATATTTTTTTGCTCACGCTATAGACCACAAATGTTAATGCGCCTAATAACTCCTAGAACACAGAGGTAGATATTTTGTCTGCATGGGAACAGTACATTTGTTACAACACTACTGACAAGAGTGCAGTGCTTCTCCATGCATCAGTAATATTCTTCTACATTCCAATATACTTATACATTCCTTTCCTTTTTTTAATCAAATATTTTATCATAACACCGCTAGACTTAAACTCCCTCCGGGTACATTGCAAGCTGAAAAAGAAAGTTTTGGTGCCTTAGAAATGATTTATAACAACTCAGTTAAACATTAGCTTCCAAGAGCAAGTCCATATTGCATTTCAATATGTTTCACTGGGAAGCTTACACATCCTATGAGAACAAAGCCCTCCTTTTACGGCAAGATTTTAAAACGGCCTAGGGGCAAATTTTTCATACTGTATGTCTCTTAGTAAGTACCACAGTTTGTGAATACTGGGAACATAAATCCCTTTGTGATCTATTTAAATAACGTGCGTGCTACCAAACTATCTTTTTAAAGATAGATGGTTAGACAATTTAATATGTTATTTTTTTAAGTTAAAATAAATTACTGTCATTTTTTTCAAGACTGTCCAATAATACCCAATGCCATGTTAGGCCATTGAGAAAATGGACTCAACAATACATTGAGTCACAGATCTGTAATAGTCTTTAAGAACTATGCCATACTCCTTTGCTCCTGGCTTCACGAGTTAATCCAAATCTTTTTCTTATACTACTGTATTTATCACTACCGTATGTTTGCATAGACCTAAACACTAAATACAAACACAACAGAAAAAAGAATACAGTAGTCATTTTCTGCTCTTTTGGGAGGAAAGACTATTTTTTTCCTAATGTCTTTTAAAACATCTAACTGAACCCTGAAGGTTATATTTCCAAGCATCCAGATATTTGTACCATGTGCTGACTTTGAGAGATAAGAAAGGTAAGAAAGTGGTGTTTCAGAAACATTTTTCTTGAGCTGTCAGATGTGAAAAATACTGTACATTTGTGTTTACAAAAAGGCTTTAAATAGCAGGCTCCTTTATGGTTTTTATAATGTTATAGCAAAGCCATTTATATTGATATCATTATGGCTGAAAGCCTCCCCGTCTTCATAGTAAAATAAAAACAATATTCAAAAAAATAAAATGATAAGAACTGAATTGCACATTAACTTTATGGAGGCTTTTCGTGGCTTTTTTGTTGGGTGTTTTATTTTTGAAGAGAATCGGGGTTTTGTAAGCAGGCTTGGCTCCTTTGGATGTCTACAAAGCTGCAGGCATTATCACTTTAATTTTAAAGGCTTTCTAAACTCAGCTGAAAACCCACAGAGTGATTTAAGGTAAATTTATCAGAACAAGCTCTTTCCAGCTATATATTGAAGCTTGTTTCCATTTTGATAATGAAATAAATGGTGATTCTTTTTCAGCAGCTTCAGAACACTGAAGAAAGCAAGCACAGCTTACTCGGGCAATAAGAATACAATATCTGGTGCAGTAATGGCATTACCATGGAAATATGTCATTACTGCCATACAGAGCAATACTGAGTAATTTACGTTTATCATTAGGTCTTTTATTGTCATGCTTTTTCATGACTCATCCAAAAAAAAATCTGCAGTGCACTAACAGTCCTGTAATGTGTCTTGCGGAGAATCTAATTAAACCTAGAGCTACAGGTTCTTTTTAAAGCTCTACAAAGTGGAAATTTAGGACATTAGCTATACTGTCAGTTTAAGCAATCGGTGAGTGACCAGCAGTAACTAGGGGAATAAAAAGGACAATTTTTACTCCGAAAGAGCAGATACACTTTAGAAAGACACTTTCCCATGGCCTTTATGAATTGTAAAAATTGAAATCTGAAATCAGTAATTAAATTTATAAGGACTTGAACAGATGGAATATCAAGAGATAAACCTTCCATTTTGGCATTCAAACATGGCCTTTATCGCTACAGAGTGTTTTTTTTTAAATATCCTCCTCTGGTTCTTCTTGGTAGTTATTATTCAAAAAGTAGAAAATGTTCGACAGTTCAAAAACACAGGGAAGATATATGAAAACGTACGCATGACTAAAATATTCAGAAAGCAGCAAAAGTTTCAGTGTTCCTGGGTGGCCAGAGTGTCTGCAGGTCTCTTGAATCCTGAACTGTATATAGTATAGAGATTGCATGCTGGGAGCAGCACCTTCAACAGTGGTTCCCATCCAGGGGCCAAATGCTTTCTTTACAAGCTTTCTTTACTTTGCTGTGACAAGGAGCCTACCTGCACAGAGAAAGAACTTGGATTCTCCCACACTGATCTCTCCTTGTGCCGGAATGATGTTCACTTGCAGAGAAGCTGAAAAACAAAAGAAAGATCGGAGATTAGAGACACATCCATTTGATAGGTATGATTAAGACCTTACCGTTATGTGACTAAACACCAACTGGATTTCTGCACAGTTTTCAGAAAACACAAGCTCTGATTGCAAGTTTACCAGATTGTGAGTCTGACTTTTGACAGAAAAGGTCTGCAATGTTCCATGCCAGATCTCTCTACAGTTTTTTTTCATGCACTTTTAAGGAAAGAAGCAATATTAATAAATTAAGTGGGAAATATGTGACCTTATATTTTAAATGTATACTAGTGTTGTACAGTATGTTTACAATGTGTTATGCCCTCTACATCAGATGTAGGGGCTAAACAATGACCAAGACTGCACAATATTAGGATTGTCAATCTTGTAAATGTTTTAAAAGTTTCTTTCTGACCATCTAATCCTCTGAACTGGGCTGCACCGAATTAAAATGTTTATTTATGAGTATAAAGATGAAGAGAAAAGGCAGAGAGAGCAACTTCTTGACACATTAAGTGGTTTAATTTCCAGCAACTGGCTTCATCATCCACTTGTTTTGCAAACTGTTTAGTCTCTGTACCTTATTTATTTTAAAGCACTCTCTATTTGTGATTAAAGTCAGTGTGAATTTTATGGATAGCACTGGCTGCCCAGGCGCGTGTGCATTCATAATGGTATGCTTGATTTGCATTCATTTTAAACAGCTAATTTAAAAGCAGGAAATTTGTTCCAAATAGAAGATCACTTCTTTTGAATGGTTTAAAAGGTCATTGAGTATTAACAGTGCTACGTAATGAGGTACCCATGCATCCAGATAGACTAACCAAGTATGTCCACAAGAAATTAAGCTGACAAGAGTATCACAATCAAATGCAAACATTTTTTTGGTAAAAAAAGGAATATTACCAAGAGAACTGATGAACAATGTTTACTTGGAGTTACTACTGTTAAGACTACAGTCGGTAACTGGTTTATGAATTGTTTCTATTCAATATGACTTCCTTCATTGCTCTTTTCATATTTTCTTCTCAGTTCCTTCATTTTACTTGTAATATGCAGAAGGAAGTTTGTTATTGTTTCTGTGGTTTAATGAGGGAAAAGGAGACTTTCTTTGAAGGTTATGTCTTTTTCTCTTATTTGAATGAAGAACAATAATTGTTATTTTTACTGCTGACATACCACTTCCTATAATATGTGTCTATAATACAGTCAAGTATGTCGTCTGACGTCCTACAGGTGTTCAAATACTGCCCAACTCTTAAAAGTCCTACTGTACATTTTCAAACCAAGCAACATGGCTTGAATGCGTACGTCATGAAATAACCCTCCCAGGGTACGATGGGTACAGACACATTTCAAAACTCTGAGTCGTGAGATGAGAACCGGTGACGTCCGCCATCTGCATCAAGCGTCCATTTCCTGTGAGGGAGTCTCTCTGAATGCTTGCTCATAAAGAGCCTAAGTAGAGTACGGGGCTTTTAGAAACTCACAAAAAAAAATTTATCACGGATAATGACAGTGTTAATCAGAAGAATAAAACATCCTTGTAAGATAATAAGAAAAAGAAGAAAAACATCAATTGCCGATGAAATAAATAAAGCCTTGAGTCCATCCTGCATGCCAAGTACCAGAGCAACTTGTTGCCATGGAAACCTGTAGTGCAGTCAGAACAACACTTCAGACTACTTAATCCAACAACACTGCAAGGGAAGGTTGCTCCCCTGTCTAAATGTGGCAATTAAGGCTCTACACTTAAAAGATGGGGCACCAATTACCAAACCATCAGCCTCTTGTAAACTTCATTTCCACTAACATTGACCTAAAGGCCTCAGTGTTCAGTGACATTTCATAATTACCTCTCACTTCACTTTTCGAATTACTTTCATGAAACCTACTGTACCTGTGCACGTCGTGACAGTGATAAGCAAGGCGAATTATTATTTTTTCTGCATGTTCAAAATGAACCCCCCAAAAAAGCTCATAACCATAAATCAAGTTAATTTAGTTTTTCCAGACAAATCTCGTACGTTTCTGTCCTGACAAAAAAGGGAGAGTGACCGATTTAAATACAGACTGATGTTTTCAATTATTCACTTGCACACTACTGATGGAGTAAAGGAAATCTAACTAACAAAAAAGACTGAGTGTTCTATTTAAGTCATGATTTTGTCATTTATCACCCTGTCATGTGCATTTTCATCATTCAGAAATTATTATTATTTAATAATAAAAATCTTTCTTCTTAATTTAGTATTCAATCAAGTGTTTCTGTTTTCTACCTGGGTTCATGGCTCAAGACGTTCTCAAATGTTTTCTGTTTTGTTATCTACCTATCTAGTTAAAAATGTCTCTGTTTGCTAGTCTTGCCTGCTTTTCATTTCAAGCTTTCATTCCAGTTCTCTTCAGGATCTGCCTATGCTATCACTGCTTGAGAACATAAAACCTTGAAACTCAAAAGTGACTATGGAATCTTTTTTTGCCAGAAAAATGTTTCTCAGCTTCCTACCTGTCAAAAGCCTAAAAGCAAAATGGTACAAGACACCACCATTAAACTGTATACAGAGGTTTTAAGCCACGGTGAACAAGTGGTCAGTTAAACCTACAGGATTTCTCTTTTGTTACCATTTTCCCTAACGCAGATCTAAGGATTTGCGAAACACAGAATTTGAGGCACTAGACAGAGTTAGGTGTGAACAAACTAAATTCCCGAAAATAAGTGGCAGCAGAAGTTCCCTTTCGGCCCATTCTTTCACGGAACTTCGCCAGCTAAGCACAGCCTTGACTTATGCGCTGGATCATAATCTAGTGTCTATCGCTCCTCTGAGGCTCCAGGGTTTTTGGAGAGAAATAAATCCAGTCAGGGTTCTACTCCCACTGATAGAGCTCTGGCCAAACCAAGCATCTGCAAAACTCCCGGAACACTAAATAGACCTTTTTGATCAGCACGCTTTCTGGTAGATTGTGTAAAGCCTAGGCAAATACACAATTCCGGTTACTCAGGTACTTTTTCTTGATCACAGCCATGATAACATACAGCATGCGAAAAGACAAATTCCTAATACAAGAAAATGTTTGTGGTCAATAAAGTGATCTGATCTTCTCTCCTATCTTATCTAACAATCACAGAAAGTTTTTTTTCCCCACCAGTTCAGGAGCATGGCTAGACACCCCCAGAAACTCATCCCAGTTTCCAAAAAAATACATCAATGACACTAATGCTGATTCTTAGGAGGTTTGAATCGCCAGAAGCCAAGAATTCCAGATACGACCCTGAGATAAATATGTAGAGGCTTACTGAAATCTAAGATGTAAGGTATTACAGATTTAAAATAAAAGTAATAAAAAGATGAAAGGAGGATGTGTTCATGGACTCTAAACACTTTGAATTACTACATCTAGGATCAGTAACGGGGAAAGTGATCTATAAAAACCATGGAAACAGCTGTTCAGCACACATCGCTTTCCTGTCTCTTGCGATCTATGTATCCCTGCATCCTCTTTTTCCTCATTTGATTTAATGTCAGTCGTGAAATCAAAGCCAATTTAAATAACAGTATGTTTTTAAATAAATAATCAAACTACAAGGCAGTTTTTTTTTAAAAGAAGAAAGAGAGATATTCTCTAGAGTCTTAACATGGAGCCCAGGAACCTAGCCTCTCTTTGTATTGTTTATACTACTGACATATCTTTCTGAAACATGTCTTTAAAAAATGGATGGACAAAGAATCACCTTTTGCTGAAAAGCCATTTGACCTAAAGCAGACTATGCAGATCCTTTTGCTGTCTTGGAAGTCACCATTCCAATTAATCTTGTTTTTTTGCAATCTAATGAGCGCTAACTACGACATTGATCATGAATCTGCTCTTCTGATGAGCAAAAACATTAATGAATATGTGGCACCAGGGATTGCTGTCGGCAGCCGACTCCTCATCGGGGAGGAGACTGCAGAATGTTCTGAGCGGCTGCAGTTTTACTCCATTGTTTACGTGTTTATTGGCAAAAACGTCCACAGGGGAGTTAATACAGTATGAAGTTCTCAACACAGCAAATCTGGAATTTAATCAGTTTTCATCAGTAAACAGTATTTTTCTTCTTCCTTGAAGGAAGAAAACAGAGCACCGATTTCTCTTTTAATCCCTCCTTCCACTGCCCAAAGATTTTGTTTTGTTCTCTGTTCAGTGTGTAAGCAGTTAACACAGAGTTGATTAAACTACATTAGAAACACTATGTTATGTCACTTTGAAATTAACCAAATACTGTACTACAGCTAGCTGATCTTTTTAACCATTTCGTCTCCCAGGTCATACAGAAGGTAGCCAATGCACCTCAAAACAAAATATTCATAATATTTTAGAAAATTACAGAAAATATTTAGCGATATTGTACTATTCTGATCATGGTCCACTTTATTCATTATTGTAATATTGTTGCAACTGAGTGCTAAGAGCATTTACCATTTTAGGAAAATGGGTAATGTATCTCAAAATACTGAAAAGGAAATATGAGTTAAAAAAACAATTAGATACAGTTCACTTTCTGTATTTCACAAAGTGTAGGATGGGCACTGGTGGCGAGACGGAGTTTGTTATAAAGACAGCAGAATGCACAAGTCATAAATACACAGTTCTTACAAAAGGAAAGATAAACATTATGAAAGAACAGCATTAAAAAGGACAGAAAATGTGTTTGTTTGCTTTTCTCAAAATGCTGTTGTCATGGTAAGGATGCAATACTAATACTGTAGTGCTGGGTGAAAGTCTTAATTGAAAATAACGGATTGAAAGAATTGACGGATCTGTAGCAATAAAAAATGTGTCATTTAGTAATATGAGAAACAAATATAAAATGGGATTATATATTAAAATCAACACTGGTGACATCATCAACTGTATTGTGATATTTCCCTGCAAGATATACAGTATATATATCAAGATTAATATATCAAGAAAAACAGGATGATATATGATATTCATCATAACGCCCAAACCCTACTCCCGGTAA